TCCAGACCACGCTGACACAGTCCTTTGTTCTGTGTCACTGGACAATTCCCTTGACGAGCTCGACAATGGACTAATAGCACTAAGGAGTTTGTGGGCGAAGAAAACAAAGTCCAAGGGTGAGTTAATGATCGCGGATGTTGAGATTGCGCACACGCGAGTAGGTGCCTTGTTAGATCCGGGATCAACGCGGTCTTATATCTCAGAGAAGGCAATTCGAAAGTTGCATCTGAGAATGAAGGTAAAGGATTTAACTAGACCAATCACGTTTACAGTGGCTGACAAGAGCACAATCATTGTCTCTCAATACGTCGATTGTGTTAAGTGTTACTTCAGGACCAAGGAAGGTAAGAAGATTTGACACGAGGTATCCTTTCTTAAAGAGAAGAATTTAGCCTTTGACTTAATTCTGGGTATGGATTGGCATGGGGAAGCCGACCCAGAAGTTAAGTTCAAAGATAAAATTGTCAAACTCCAGGACAAGAAGTCCGAACTACGTGCGATAAAGTTATATCATAAGTCTGGCTCTGACTCTACTCTGTCTTTCTGTTGTATGAGTTACCCAACTTTTCGCTCGATGATAGTAAAAAAGAAGTTGGATCAGGAGGTGATGATGGTGCTTGTCAAACAAGTAGGTGAGTGTTCTTCATCCTATCCACCTTCTATTGAAAAACTTCTTGATGAATACAAGGACTTGCAGTCTGAACCGACGGGAATCACTGAGCGTGCTATCAAGCACACAATCGAGATCATTCCCGGAAGTAAGATTCCCAAGGGTCCCATTTACCGTATGTCTCCCTGGGAACTTGAGGAATTACGAAAACAACCGCAGAAACTTCCTGACAAGGGATGTATTCAACCCAACTCATCTCCTTATGGTACACCTGTCCTATTTGTGCCCCAAAAGGAAGGTGAACTTTGACTGTGCATTGACTATCGTGGGTTGAATTCTGTCACTGTGAAAAACGCGTAACCACTTCCGCGCATTGATGACTTGTGGGCTGCATTTATTTTAGCAAGATTGATCTCAAGTCAAGGTACCACCAGATCAAGGTGGCTCCTGAAGATCAACACAAGACGACTTTCCAAACAAGGTATGGTCACTACGAGTTTGTGGTAATGCCTTTCGGATTGACTAACGCCCCTGCAACCTTTCAAAGGTCCATGAATAAATTGTTCCATCAGTGGTTGGACCAATTCGTAATTGTCTATCTCAATGATATCCTAGTGTATAGTAAGACACAAGAGGATCACGAGAAACACCTACGGATGGTTCTTCAGAAGTTGCGCGAAGGCAACTTCAAATTAAATCCGAAGAAGTCTAAATTCGCTAAGCCTGAAGTATTATACCTAGGGCACATAGTGAATGAAGAAGGACTAAGGCCTGAAGAGAAGAAAATAACAGCAATCAGAAATTGGCCTCAACCTAACACTGTCACTGAACTTAGGTTTTTTCTAGGACTCGCTAGTTATTATAAGAACTTCGTTAGAAATTTATCCTTGATGGTTGCTCCTATGAGAAGACTACTGAACAAGGAAAAACTTTGGTTGTGGGACAAAGACTGTGAGTCATCTTTTAAAAAGTTAAAATATACTCTAACTCACTACCCTGTCCTAAAGATTGCTAACCCTTCTCTTCCTTTTATTGTCACAACTAGTCAGTATGGGATTGGGGTTGTGCTACAACAGGATGACGGTAAGGGATACAGGCGTGTTGAGTTTATGTCAAGAAGACTTCCGTCCGAAAAGGTAGCCAACTCTACATATGAAAGGGAACTGTATGCCTTAGTAGTTGCACTAGAAACCTGGAAGCACTACATGTTGGGGAGGCATTTTACTGTCTATTCTGACCACTCTACGTTGAAGTGGATCAAGACTCAGCCTAGAGTCTCCGACAAGTTAGTAAGGTGGTCCGCTTTCCTTGATACATTTGACTATGAGGTGAAAACCATCAGAGGTAAGTCTAACGTGGTTGCGAACGCTTTGTCCAGGCGTGCAGATTTTTTTGGAACTATTGTCTCTTATCTCGATATTGGAAGTGAACTGAAAGAACAGATCCGCCAGGGTTATGGAAGTAACCCGATTTGGAGTCCTATCATTGGAACTCTATGAAAGAACCCCGAGTTATTTCCAAAATTTCGATGGACTGATGGTTGACTCTTCTTGTTGGACAAAACCGAAGAACGATTGTGTATTCCTCACCTAGAACCAATTAAGAGTTTGATTATTGGGAAATGCCATGATGCGGAAGGTCACTTTGGTTTCAAGAAGACGTGTGTCGATGTGCGAGAACATTTTGAGTGGAAAGGAATGAAGGAAGATGTACTAACGTATATGTGGACTTGTCTTGTCTGTCAGAGAAACTAGCCCTTACATGAAAATCCGATAGGACTACTGAAACCGTTGCCTATTCCAAGTGAGTTAGGCGAGTCCATCTCTATTGACTTCATAAACCTCACTAAGAGTCGAAACGGCAACAGTCAGGTAATGACCATCGTCGATAGATTCTCTAAGTATGCTATGTTCATTCCTTTACCTGCGGAAGCAAAAACCGAACTAGTCATCCAAAAGTTTCAAATGCGATGGGTCTCTGAGTATGGATTTCCTAAAACCATCGTATCTGACAGAGATATTTGGTTCACCAGTCTGCAATGGAAAAAGTTGATGGAAGTCTATGGAACCAGGTTGACCATATCGTTAGGCAGACATCCTGAAACGAATGGCCAAACTGAGCAAATGAATCGTCTTTGCAAACAACTTTTGCGAATGTATGTCCGTCCTGACCAGATTGATTGGGATGAGAACTTGCCGAAAACTGCTCGTGCATATAATAATAGCATACATATTGTTACAGGTAGAACGCCTAATGCACTACATAAAGGTTGAAAGCCTAAGCGTCTCATTGATGCGTTAACAAGGGACCAGATTTAGACGCTACCCCCAGGAACGCGAGAATTCGCAGTTTTGTATGAAAAAGACATCAGGAAAGTGAAGGACAACATACATAAAGCCCAACTGCAAATGATTGAACAAGCTAATAAACATTGTCGTCCTTCACAATTTCAGGAAGGGGACTTTGTCAGGGAAAGGTCTAAAGAGTTTTCCTTAGAAGAAAATGTGTCTCAGAAACTGCTACCTGTCTATTATGAACCCAGGGAAGTTCTCAAAGTAATTGGAGGAAAAGATGGACCTTCTTACCGTATAGATATACCTTCTCATCTCAAGACATACCCTGTCTTCCATGCGTCTAAGCTGCTACCTTATGAAGAAAGTGACAACTTTCCAAATAGGCCATCTATGATTCCACCTTCTATGAACGGAGGTTCCGAAGTTGAGAAAATATTGGAACATGGCTATTTCTCTACAAGTGGCAGAGGACGACCTCAGAAGCAGTACAAGGTAACATTCAAATCCCAACCCCTATCAGAATCTAGATGGTTTAATAGTGAAGAACTTCTACCTACTGCTCCTGACATTGTTGCAGCATATGAACGTGGGTTAACTGAGAAATTATGTATTTTCTGCGATGGAACTCGAAAACTGGGACGGCAGGAATGCAATAACCCATGCCATACGTCTCGTGGAGCCGAGGGCCACCAGAAGGCCTACTTGGCCGCCCTCAACCCAGACCAAATAAGGGCAGAAAAGGTCTTCACAAATTCAGGATCTGGGCGTGTGACAGTTGACTTTGGTCAACTGTCGGTCCACCCAACAGTCATAGTCCACAGGCACCTAGCCCAAGCCGCAGGTCAAGCACACACATTTGTTTGTGCGCAGGTACCCTGGTCAACGTGGCATGCTGATGTGGCGCTGCCTCTGATATATGTGGCGCTGCCTCTGGTCTATGTGGCATGCTGACGTGGCACTGGTGCCTCTGGCCAATGTGGCATGCTGATGTGGCGCTGCCTCTGGTATATTTGACGCTGCCTCTGGTCTACGTGGCATGCTGACGTGGCGCTGCCTCTGGTATATGTGGCGCTGCCTGCGGTATATGTGGCGCTGCCTCTTGTCTGCGTGGCATGCTGACGTGGCGCTGCCTCTAGTATATGTGGCGTTGCCTCTGGTCTACGTGGCGCTGCCTCCGGTATATGTGGCGCTGCTCCTGATATATGTGGCGCTGCTATTGGTCTACATTGTTGATGTGGCGTATGCCACCCGTCTTGGTTGCTGACGTGGCATTGTCCACGCTGTCTACATGAGGTGACTGGTTGCGAGGAAGAGGAAGATCGGGATCTGTGGATGTAGAGAATCGGGTACTCACCTGTGGCTGTCGTCGTCACTGGAAATCTGTTGTGTCTTCAAAGTCTTCATGAGATAAAGTGCCACATGGCACTATTGTATGTGACCAAGATTATTCTTATTATCATTGATGATGTAGTGTGGAAAGAAGCCCGGAGAAGGAGAGGGATCTGAAGGATTTTGTGCATTCTCTCTTCCTCTCCTTTGTCTATTCTCCCTCCACACTCATCTCTTTTGGATAATGAGATACTGCTCGAGGTATCACTTCACGATCTGGAGACATTCAGACAAATATTGAAACTACTGTTGATTGACGACTTTTGAGTACCTAACAGACCGGGTTCATTGCACTTTAATTAATTCGAATCAAAATTAATGTATTTTAATTCTTGTTTTGCAAATTTTATTTTTTGGAAATTATCTTCTTTGATAAATCACTTGATGACGTTCTACTCTTGTAAATAGGAACCTCCCGCCCCCCCCGGGCATGCCACGCTCAACCAAGAACTCTCAACGAGCAGCCGCCGACGCCGCCGTTGCTGCCACCGCCTCCACCTCATCTGCTGCTAACTCCTCAGCCGCCTCTACCACCCCACCGCTTCCTCCCCCAGCATGGCCCAATCATGCAGCATTGTCCGACATCCGCACCGACTCCGTCGACAGCATTGCCCGCAACCTCGCAGGCGAGCAAACACTAGCACTCAATGCCGCCATCGACCTCGCGACACTTTTCCGCATGATGACATCCCTCTAATCATTCATGGACGACATCAAAACATTTGTTTCCACCATCTCTGCTCGGGTGACCACCATTGAAAGTCACAGCCCTGCCATCCAGGTCGTCACCACCACATCCCCCCCCCCACCTCGGGTGCCACCACCCTTCCCCCATCCTCCGCCTCCAAATCTACACCAATCACCTCGTCCCCCACACCCACCGTCCTCTCCACTAGCACGCTATCCACACCTCCGCCTTCATCCACCACTGCCTCCACCTTGGTCACCAAGACGACAACCCCCGCCGTCATGCAATCATCAACCATTCCCTCCCAGTCAAAACCCCTCATGACTTCATCCACTATCACTTCCACCCCACACAAGCCCTGCTCCCCGTTATCCCAATACCTCCTCTGTCCACACTCCTCCCAACCAATCCCACTACCGACTTCACCCGGGTACCATCGTCCTCACCCAAACTTGATTTCAACACCCTCGCCACCACAACACCCTTAACGGGTAACATTCCCCCATCCTTCCGGTCAATGGAAATCCCCCCCTTCACCGGCCTTCCCCACGAGGACGTCTTCGTCTTTCTCAGCAAACTATATGGTGCCTTCTCCCTCCTTGTCACACACTGGCTCCCTATCGCCAGCACCAGGTTACAGGAAGGCGCCTCTCTTTGGTGGTACACCACGAGCTAACCGCCAACACGCAAACGAGGAACCCCACTCCTTCCTTCAGTGGGCCAATCTCATCACATGCACATTCCGACCACGAACAACGGTCGATAGAACGGCCCGACCGACCGCTTTGTCCAATACGTCCGTGCGTTGCGGCAACACATCCCCCTTGACTACATCAGCCATGCCGCATTCATCTCCCACTTCAAACGGGAATGCCGCAAGGACCTAGCCGCCTCCCTCGTCCACGACCCCCCGATGTCTCTCTCCGATCTCCTCAACCGCGCCATTCACCTAGAGAAATTCCTCACCCCGTACAAGGACACACTCACATCCGCCCCACCCCCCCACGATTCTTTCATAACATCACCAATGAAACCTCTCTCTCTACCTCCTCGGACGAATTCTCTAGCCCCGACCCCGACATTCTCTCCGATTCCCTAGACACCACATCACTCTCCTCTGACGAACTCTCCGCCATTCAACTCATGCGAATGGAAAAGAGAGAATGCTCTAGCCGCCCTCCCCCAACCACCCTCCCAGGCCGCCTCAAGAAACTCACACCCGAGGAAAGAGCCCACCTTCAGGCAAAAGGTGGATGCTTCCAGTGTCGACAAATAGGCCACCAGCAAACCAACTACCCCATTTGCTAGACAATTCACACGCCAGCCCGCGACACCCCAACCCGCTACTTCCGCATCCGCCACTCCCGGGCCCTCCTCCACTTGAACTTTCTCCCCATGGTCACCACGCACCTGCCCCGACATCGACGACTAGTCTATCGGCCATACCATCGGTGACGATCTCCACCACACCAGTGACCCATTTGGCATCGACAATACGTCTGCCTCCCGCCTCTCAGGCGCCGTACATCCCACCGGACGACCCCCAGGCGTCACAACCCTCATCGCTTGACGCCCCCCTAACCACCACATGTTCCGCAACCCTCGTTCCGAATCCATCCTCTGTCACCTTCTCTGATGTTGTTGAGGAACAAGCCCGATTCGATCCGCTTGTCCGATTAGGCAATGAACAACGCCGCCTCAACACCATTATCTCCACCGCCAACTCATCACGCTTTCAACTCAAATTCATCGCCGCCACCCTTGGTGCGTTTACAACTAAGTTTCGGGCCCTCCTCGACATTGGAGCCACCGGTAACTTCATCACCGATGCGTGTGTCCGGAAAGCCGATCTTACCTCTACCGGCACCGGTAACTTCATCACCGACACGTGTGTCTGGAAAGCCGATCTTACCTCTACCGCTTACGACTCGCCGATTACGATTCGTTTAGGGGATAAAGACACCGCCGTCGCAGTAGACCACACGGTTCCTGAGACCACCATGACTGTCGGAACCCTCTGCAGTCAGGTCTCATTTGATGTCATGCACTTAATGTGCGACATTGGTTTGGGAACACCGTGGCCGGACCGCTACATGCCATACTCGTTCCACCCCAACTTCATCCGCCTTACCAACCCGCCTGACACAACCATCGACATTCCCTATCTTCCCTATCCCCCCTCCCCAAGCTTCGTCACCGTGCACCAATTCCTTCACATGGCTCGTACATACCTTGACTCCACCTACTATTGCCTTGTCCTTGATCGTGAGCGTCCGGACGACTTGCTCCCAACGGACAAACCCGACCAAGCGCCCCCCTCCGACCTCGCCCGCACCTCCATCCTCGACGAGTTCAAGGACGTCTTTACCTCCGGATCGTGGCATATCCCATACCGTTGATTTGGAGCCCAGTCACTCTCCACCTTGCCGCCTTCCATAGGGGTTTCAATGGCGGGCGAGCCCGAATTTGCGGTCAGAAGAAGATGGAAGTTAATGAAAGAAGAGTAGTGCAGAAGGGTGTGCGTAGGAGCTATGGAGGAGGAGAGAGAAGACTGTCGGAGCGGTCGTTCCTTGACCGATTTCAACCAATGGAGGCTCTACGCTAAAGTTTTGGAGCTGGGCGAATTCGATGGTAGGGCTAGCATCGAGTTTTAGAGGTTAGTTCTTGTGCAGTACGGAGATAAAGTTGCGCCTACACAAAGAAAAGAGGGGAGTTGCACCGTATCCGCCCACGTTTAGGCTGAAGATTTATTTTGATCATGCGGACCAAATCGTTGGGAGCAACCTCTCAATATCTCTTTGTCCCGTGTCCTGAGTGAAGATACATTTTCATTTGCAGCTCGTGTTCGTGATTCTGATGATCCCGGTTGCGCTGCTGGCCATCATAGTGTCTCCTGCCTATCTGTAGTTCACAAGCGAGGATTCCGCTGTGCAACGATCTGCTGCTCGTCGTCATGGTCGGAGTCCAGCAAGGACACTGCCGCCCCTCGTTGTTTGCTGATGCGCGTCCTGATCGAAGTGCTCGTCGGAGAGATCGAGGTCGAACTGTTGCAGTGTACCAAGCCGTGTTTTAGGGGAAGATTCACCCTGAGTTGCGCATTTGGCAAGCAATGGATGAGCTCGTCGTAATCTTGGTCTAACTCGCCAAACGAGGACGTGTGGATAGTGATGTTGAACACTGTGGTCGTCGTCCTCGCAGTCTGAACCTGTCGTCAGTTCGTTGCAGCCCTGCATATATCCGCGTTCTATGGTCACGCCCCATCCCTCAACGCACATGACCAGGAAGCAATGTATATTTTCGTGTCTTGGAGGGAGATTCAGGCGCGTGTGCGTGAACCTTCCCCTTTTTCAACGCAAGCTTCAGACTCCTTTTTCCCTGTGTCTGCAACGAGACTTGCTATCAAAAAGGGGAACAGTGTGCCTGCCTGCATACGTTGGTGAGGGAGAGTTTATTCTCATCTTGCAGATGAAGTTGGCCAGATACGTTGGTGAGGGAGGGGATAGTTAACGAGAGAGAGGGAAGATACATACCTTGCTTGAGCGACTATGGGCAAAGCGTCGTCGTTTCAACATCGTGAGTTGATATCAAGAACTAATCATAGTGATAAGCTAGTATAGCTATGGAAACGTAGTCTAGGCTTTGAGTGCCGGTGGAAGAAACTTTTGGTAACGTAAGTTGCTGTAAATAACGTTTTGAACTGAACTTTTTGTAGGGGCACCAACCGTCAACTACAGTCCGTTGAGAATAAGAAGAAATGGGTGTGCGCATCACTGCCAGAAGCAAGAAGCGCTACTATCGAAATTGAGAGTTAACCTACGTTTCTCCTGTGTTTGAAAGTCACAGTCGGTGTTTTTCCGTATACCACAGTCTGTGGTTTGAGGCATGCCATTACGGGCTTATTTTGTCGATTTGCCCCGACTCGGTGTTTGTGTTCCCATTGAGACTTTAACCAGCTTATTGCTGCTCCAGAATAACGCTTCGTTGCATGCTCCCTAGCTATGTTTCCTGCAGGGGCACTGTTGTCATCATTCGCGGTGCGGGGTATAGTTGATCTCTGCTACACGTTGTTTTTGCAACGCAGGTCGTTGTTCTGCTCGAATTTGTCGTATACTGATTTCCGTCATGCATGGTTACATGTGGGCGGGCATCATGTTAAGGATGGTCGAGGTTCTTCTGCTTTCGGATAGAAAACGAGGGAGTGTTCTACTCTGACGCTGCCTTGGCGGGCCGAGTAGCTACGGTTTGGTAAGAGGGTGAGATGTTACGATTTCAGGGGGGGCTGATAGCAGAGACAAAGACGTTGCGGTTGAGTGCCAAAGCGGTGACTGTGACTTGTTGTTGCGTATATTTGTTGCGCGTGCCATACTCTACCAAAGCTTATGCTGTTTTTGTTGGCACTTCGAATAAAGCACGAGGAAATTATTTATTTGAGCAAGGTCTTTCGGTGACCACGTCGCTGTGTTTTGATCAAAGGTTGAGTACAGAGGATGAGAGTGTGATCAGGCTTTTCAAGGGGGTCCTTGCTGCGATTGGGAGGGTGGTCAGAAAGTCAACAGGTGGCGATTTGACTTCAGTTGAGCGAGTTGCTGCCCCTTTTTTTCCCCATTATGGGGCCCTCAGTCTCATCAAGGAACCAATGCCCTCTCACGCGACTCTGAGTACACCATTCTTGGATTTGAGAAACTTAATGTTTCTCCTTCTGCCCTTCTTACTCTAAGTCTAGTCTGTTGGTTCTGAGAGGAAGGCGGCAGGTGGGATTGCAACCCGTAATCCGTGCCAAGGCCTCTGTGGGAGGTTGCCCCACCGATTGCGGGAGCTCTACCGGAACCTAGACCAGGTTATGGAGGCAGGGAAGTGAGTGGTAACCGTCGTTCCCTTTTATAAACCTTGTTAAAACCTTTACCTGTACATTATGGTTTGACTGAGTATAATACATGCATCCCATATTGAGTTAATGTTTGACTTTCATAACTTCAAGCTGAGTTAAATAAAGGAATGCTTGTGTAATCTCAGTTTGAATCTTGTTGGTTATTTGAATTCAGATTGTGAAAGGGTTGTGAATTGGGGGAAGACGCGACGAAGGTGGTTTTGCTTGAGATTGTTTGGGTCAACCAAAGGTTGGGCATAGTTTCTAAGTTGAATGGTCAAGTGCTATGTTTATTTTTGACAGTCTGGAGGATCAGACAATTGTTCCTAAGTTGGATGGTTTGGTTGCTCTGACTTGGGAGGGCTGCCTATGCTTTCTTTTTCAGGGACCAAGCATAGTTTCTAAGTTGAATGGCTTGGTCACGTTGATTTATTTCGAGATTTTCTGAGTGGGACCGGGCATTGTTTCTAAGTGAATGGCCCAGTCTCCTTATGTTTTTTTTATTCTTTCTGAAAGAC